CCCAAAATTTTGAGAATAGAAGTCAAATAATGATAAAAAGAGACGCTCGTGAGAAGAACAGCATTTATCATCCAGAAATACGAATTACCGGTGCAACTTTCCTCCTTTTAAGATGAGTCAGTGGCCAAAAAGTGTATAAACTACTGATGTAACTAAGAATATAAGCGTCACATATGCAAATAAACCAACCATGTCATGATTATATATATATATATATATATATATATATATATATATATATATATATATATATATATATATATATATATATATATATATATATAACCACACAGGAAAAGGGAAACACTGGAGCACCTTAACTTTAGTCTTTATCCAGTTGCCTCTGATCTTCTGTAAACATCGTCAGACTCAATGATAGAAACAAGTAAGCCTATCATATTGAGGCTCTGGTTTATTGCTTTTCATTGATTAATCTATATGATTTCTTTGCTTTTGAAAAACTAGGCATTTTGACTGTAAAATATCTTAGAGGAATTTTAAGTTTTGATAACTGGAAAATCATGTAGTAAAAGTCCTTCTCATCTGTTGCTCTACGTATTTTCTTAGGGAATTCATAATATTTCAGTAACACGAGAGCTGTCCCACCAACCCCCTGCAGGATAGGACTGACATAACGGTAAAGGCGGCGGCAACGTTACTTCCTCCTGGTCACTTGGGCAACGTGCCTTTAAGAGCCCTGCTGCCGCTGGTGACGTAGGCCGGGACACCCTGCACATCCTACACAACGAACGGTGGAAAAAAATTATATATCAAAGCATTTTATCTGAAGGTAATCTTGCTTCTTTCACAATGTTACAATCTATTCATCTATCGTAAAGAAACTATATTTAACTGACTTCCTCAAAGTTTTATGGAGCACAACTGTTCACTAGTACACAATATTACAATACTCGTAGACGTTTTGTTTACATTGCCTTCCACGACATTTGACTAAGCGTTTACTATCAGAAGATTAGATTAAGTTTCACATCGCCTGGCTTGTAGAGCTAAAACTGGAAATATGAAATTATAGATAAAAAGTTTATTTTCAGCCTTGCCTTGAGTCCACTTGGGCGATCATCTATGCATTATGTCATAATTAATATCCTTTAAGGATATATACAACACAAAATACATATATGTTCTTGCAGAACGTCAGAGGTACACAAAACCGTGTTTGAGCAAAAAAGTAGATTTAATTATAAAAATTTTTCCAGGGGTGCGTGTTCCCCAGCCATATATCTTGAGGCCGCCTCCCCACCCCTCCTGTTATGCACAGCTGGTTATTGAATACTGATGTAAGATAGATAATAAATTAGTCTACATCTCTCTCAGTGTTATTGGTCTGCAAGTGCAAATTTACAGAGACATGTAAAATAAATACAATATTTTGCGTCCAAGCGATACTCTTGTGCGTTAAATGGTGCTATTAATTTTTATTTTTATTTTCGGGTGGGGATTGAGGAGTACTGTCTGTACCCACGTGCAGGCACCACTATACACCAGGTCAAATCACTTCTTCAGGCGACAGATTAATTTTTTGATTCCATCCCCCCTACAATCCAGGATGTGGTCACCTCACGCTTCTAAACTTACACGAGGAACTGCTTACGTGGAATAAACTGACGCAGTTGGTAGTCTGGTGTTAAAGGGATCCTACATTATTCAGTAAACAAAAAACATGCACGGAATTTGGTAAAGGAGGGAGCACAAGGCGAGTGGCAGGAGGCTGGCGCACCCGCCAACAGGACTGTGGGTGTAGTCTACGCTGTACCACACCACACTCACTATGACGTCGATGTGTCCACTACGAGCACACGGAGATTTAACAAAATCCAGCGTGAAGGAACATAATAAAAAAAAAAAAACAATGTTGTGAGGAATAGGACAGAATTTTGAGAGGTAAGAGATAGGTCGGGTATATGTGGTGCATCATGGATCTGCATGGGAGTGCCGGTTGGCACGGTGCCAGGCTAGCCTTCCTCTCACTCCCAGTCTCAATTAAAAATAGCGAGTTAATCATATTAACATTGATCTATAAACATTATTATTCAAGTACAATTTGTGCTTTCTGAAAATATAATACATGTACTGTGATACAGACTAGAATTAAATGTGATTTAGACAATAATATCACTAAAAATGCTTAAAACTGGACCAGCATAGAATATATCAAGTGTCAGCTTCATCACACACGCAAAAAAAATGGTTTTCTAGTTGATAATATTATATAACAGTTTTAATGTAATCCATGCCTTTAAAGTTGTGAGGTCGGTAAGTGTGGGTGTATTGCACAGCATATAAGTACACCACCCAGTTTACAACTGAGAAACTTTTATCACTATTTAATTTTTTGCACGTTTTACCTGAAAATTTTCCACAAAGACACCCCTCTATGAGACACAGCCATTATTATCATTTTGTTTATAGGAAAATTTGTGTCATTACAGTGATAATCTAAGCAAATAGTTTATTTATAGTTCTGTACAATGGAAGTCAGGCAGGAAAGAGATAGAGGGTGTAGTAGTCGTTAGGAGACAGGTTTAAAGGTACGCATGATGAATATTCCTTGTGACTACAGTGTAAAAATTCACCTAAATAGTTGGCACAGAAATAAGCCCCCCTCCCCCCAAAAATAAAAACCCAGCGGAACTTTGTCTTTTAACTGAAACTATACAGGTAAGTTAACGTATCTATAGTTAAGATAGTCTCAGTGTTATTGTTGCAAATTTACACTTTATTTTTGTGTTTCAGCGAAAGTGAATCAATCAGGTGCATTCTCACATATTCAATTACATACAAGGAATTTTCATCATACGAATCTCTGTGCACCAGGACCCAGACTATTGGCTGAATTATCGATGATACAAAAGGTCAATGTGATAGTCGCAATCTCCACCCTCCCCACAACACTGACGACGCTGCTTCTGCTAACACCGTTGTCTGCTGGGGAACAAGGAAGGTCAATATGAAAGTAACATTTTGCACTGTCTGTTGGCGGTCTTGCTTCTGCTGCCTGCTATGTTATGTACATGCAGTTTTGCGTGTAAAGAATGTAAATTTTCCCAAAATAAAGGAAGGGAGTGATAAAAATACAAACAAAAACTAAGATATGAAAACAAATATTGGTAGACGTATTCCAAAGAACAATATACTGGATATGATGATAACTAGAACATAGAGAAAGAGAATACAAACATACTGCACCTATAGAAAGAGGAACACATAACAAAGGTAGATAGATATAAATTGATGAATGTGTAAAAACCAAGATAAATGAAACAATATGAAAAAGAAAGGAAAAGAATGAAAACAAACAAGTACATGAAAATAAAGCTGTCCCAGGGACAGTGTTTACTGAAAATTGCTTTAATTTTCAAGTCTTCAGTTGATCATCCGACTGTAATCTTATAAGCTTTAGAGGCAACAACTCGAAGTGTGTAATAATTTGTGGCCCTGTAGAAATGACCCCAACCAGACAATATCTTCCAGGATAACTCGTTAAGAAAATAACTGATTATCTGCACCAAAGCTCAAATAAAAAATAAATCTTTGAAATGATTGGAAGAATTTTTTTGTTTTGTTTTATACGGGAATTAGCCCACCGAGGCACAGGTCAAACGACCCACAACGGGGCCTGGGGGGCGAGAAAAAAAGAACAGAAAGAAATTGAAAATAGAGAAGAAAAAGGTTATACCACGAAGATGCCGGAAAACCAGCTTTTTAACGTGAGACAGATTGTATAAGTATGGAAACACAGAAGAAGGCAGAGCATTCCACAGTTTGGCTGTGTGAGGAAAGAAGGATGTACTTTTACGGGTTATTCTAGTGTGACCGACATCCACAGAGAAATGGAGGGCACCGCGGGCAAGTAGCAGTAATACTTACCGTCGATCCCAGAAAATTATGCGATAAGTTTCGCATTATCTTTGATATTTGTAGAGGCAATATAGTGAGGTGACTGAGACCACGTGTGGCGAGCGTTGCAGGTGGCCGGGTGTGGAGGTCGTGTTACATTCATGGTAGCCAACACAGGCACTTCTGGCTTCCCTCTTAACTGCCATAATTGACCCAGGTTACATGAGCGACTATACCTTGGGCAAGACCCCACCCACAGAAGCTCCAACTTTCCACTAGTTACTCTCACTTGTCAGCCTCGACACTAAAGACCATTAGGTCTCTCGCACACTTGTGGGAATACAAGCTGGATCTACCTCGTGGTCTCGTCCCAAACTAAAAATGCCAAAGATAATAAGTTTCGGAACGTGTCCTTAATTTTTGCACTTAACAAGATCTAACTATTTTAATTGCCTTCTCTAGAATATCATGAATATTTTCTACCCAGCTGATGTTCTGAATCTTTCTTCAACGTTGGAGATGAAAATCACATAATTCATATCTTGTGATGCACTGTTAATCTGTTCTGAGCCGTGCAGCAGCATACTTAATTTAATATCACAGGTATAAAAATGTGTATATCTAAAAATAAAACTACAAACAAAATGTAATCATTATGGTTTTTTATTTGTACAGTTAACTAAGTACAAATGCAACGTAAACGGGGGCAATATCAACTTTTAGAATCTATCAATAAAACGTAATAAATATATTTTGTAGAAATTAGTAACACGTATAAAAATAAAATCGTCTCTTTATAGAAAAAGGGAAACAATAAGATAATCTAGGAAACAAATAAACAGTGGTGATTTAGACAATGGTTAATTTAAAAGAAGAAATAAAGACGAATCACAAGTCATTCAGTGTATGGGGTCATGTGGTTTTTATTTAATTTGTTTTGGTAGTATGTACAGATAAAAACGTGTAAATTTTAAAGAATATAAAGACAGACTAATAAATTCAACTTTGCAAGCAAGTGATGTGAAATTTTAGAATCTAGAAGCAAAAACGTGTAAATTAATTATTGTATTAGATATTCGACAAATGTGTTTATGAGTGAGTGTAAGGGGTGATAGGTGTTTGTTTACCGTGTTAGCCTCGTGCTCCCTGTGTGACGTCAGGCCGGGGACCTCTGGTGAGCGAGGTGAGTGATGGGTAATATTTCCCGACATGCCCAGCCCTGCCGCCAATTTTCTAATGTCCGCCGAGAATACCACGTGAGACTGACCCAAGACAAAATACTGTGTGGACATAAGGACTTGCGGGGGTTCCACGTGGTTACTGATGCCTTTAAGAGAGTGTGTCCGCCATAAGAAACCAAAAGTTAGCCAAAATGGCGGATGTTTAGGAGTTATTATGTGAGTGCTGAGATAACTTGAACAACTGGTGTCTTAAGGGTCATATTGTACGTACTGTACTGACTGCACGTCAGCGTAATGTGCTAATATTTTGTATAGGCAACAGAGTAACTAGTTGAAGTGTATCAATCTCCTAATGACTAGAAGACTGCCAGCTGGCATGTCACAGCTGCATATAATCAAATTCTTGAGCGCGTTATATACACTTGTGCATCAAAACACTGCAGTTTATTATCCATAAACTATCTTCGTAGTGTGAGAGAAAGTGAGCGTTATGTCATTGCCCAGTAGCACCAGATGCTAGTGTTATGTATGCTTCAGGACCCCCAATGAAAATAAGCTTGTAACAGCTGCTGTACCTTGGACTTAACCTGCTTGAATCAACTGAGTGTTTACCGGTTTTAGTGTACAATACTTATACTCTCTGTGTACATGCTGAGGCATTGTTAGGGTGCGTGATAATTACACTGAATACAGTACCTATCCATCTAAATTGATAAAAGTCAAGGTTGATTTCACCTATTTTCTTGTTAAATTTCTAAAACATTCTTTAAAGGACTGATTCAATACGTGAAACTGAAATCTGATGAAGTAGTGAGAAAAAAGAGGAGTAACCTTGTGAATTTTGGGAGTTTAAGTAATTATTTGTTGAATGTACCAAAATAGGAAATGGTGGTAGTGAGATGAGACACCCAACTATTATGTCCTTGTATTTCAAAATTAAAACTTAACTATTAATTGTATTAAAAATTTTAGTGTTTTGGTTAAAGTAATCAGTTGACATAATTACAAATTACTTTGAATCATGCATGAATATGTATGTGAACAATGTTTACAGGCACTGATGTGTGAGACTATGGCATTAAATCACTTATACATAACATGAACCAAAAGTAACAATCTAATGTTCCTAAGGTATTTTTTAATTTAGTCAGGTCAAAAAAATCATCATACAAGTTCAAGTTGGTTCAGTGTGTACTTAAACAGTATAGGTATGTGCAGGTACAGTATATATATAATCCAGATACTGTACAGCTAGTGTTGATATACTGTACTAAGCATTGGTGACATTTAGTTGATTAAACCGAGGATAGTCCATAAAATTGCCATTAAGAGCTTATTTCCATTGGGGACTTTCCTGAACGATTTAATATCACCATTTACCAAGTTTTCTAAAAGACATTTTGTTTACAGTTGGCTTGGATGCCATGAACGACGGAGTTGTGACTGTGGCTCGGCACATAAAACGGGAGATGGATGACAATACTGAACATGCAAGTAAGAAACAATTCGCTTTTTATAATCACGTGCATATTAGCCATTGGCAGTACGTAGTAGAAATTTCAATGAAAATCCATTTGATTTACAGACCACCTGACCAAAACACGAGGTGATCCAACAGAAATATAGGTGTCAACTCCATCTAGTTCTTCCAATTACTGTCTTGTTTCTGCATCTTATACTCGTTCCTCTTCTCAAAGTGTCCCCTCCCAGACATGCACTATGAGGCATTATGATAAAGCTGACCGGGAAAGCTTGTAGGAATATTATTCTCACTCCTCCAAGACTTCAACATGGATCTATCCGCCTCTGCTAACAACATTTCACAAGCTCTTCATCTTCGTATGGAACCCTTTATCCCCCATTATGTACTTACAGAGAAACCAAGATCCCTGCTCTGGTTCAACCTTTCCTGCCAAAGGCCAACTGAACACAAATACGCCTCCTACAGATAAGTAAATATCACCAAGGCCAAGAAATTAAAAAAATTATACTGTACAACTAAATCATCTTCATCTCTTCTTTATGATGTACTGGGAGAGCTTATATATATTGAGTGTAAATCACTTGCCATTTATAAACTGTAAATCAACAAGCATAATAAGTGCAGACTATTTCTCTATATTTGTGAATTTTGGAGTGTAGCTGATGATGCTATGATTCATTTGTGGCCATTGTAGTGGTCCATGTAATCATACTGTAACTATATTGTACTGTACTTCTGAGGTTTTGTAAAAGCTGTTTTAGTACCTTAATTTTCCATGCTAGACCAGGTATATATTTTGTTCAAAGAATTGGTTGTTATTTTTTGTTCGGATTAAATATATTATTGGAACCTAATGAAATTTGTGATGGGTTACAAGAATTTAGCAAACAAGAATTACTTTGCATTGATTTATAATTATCTTTTACAGGTGTGGTAGTTGTAGAAGATGGAAGTGGAGCAGTTCCAGTAACGCTTGAGCTTTCCGATGGGACTCGTGCCTTAGTCCATAATGCTATATCAGAGGAACATCAAGGTATCTAATGTTTGTATTTTGTCTTTTATCATATACAGTGCAGTAGTGAAGGAAACATTAACAATGAAGTGAATGGAGCAGCAGTGAATATGGATGTTTGGATAGCGTAACAGAATATTTTTGGGATGACTGGTGCTGCTGATTAAATGTCTTTTGTTAATCCACAGTGGTAAACCAGAAACTGTCTATAAAACTGTATAGAACAAGTGAATTAAAACAAAACAATTTTGATCTTTGTTCTTGGATTAGGTACCTGATTAGATTCTAAGTTGTTTGTTTGAGATGTCTGGAATTAATGAACATGAATCTTGATACATGATTGATTTTGCTCCATTGAGAAAGTATGCAGTTTACAAATTTACTTTTCAGATGATATGGAAGGAGTTGCTATTCAGTTAGATGATGGAAGGATTGGCTACCTGTATGGTGATACACTCCTACAAGCTGTGTCAGAGGAGCATGATCCACTTCTGACCCACAAGTTCGTCTGTTGTTTTCCAAACTGTGAAAAATCATATACATCTTTAAATCATCTTAAAGTAAATAGGTTTTCCCTTCTTGTTTTTGGGTTGTAAGGGTAGGTAAGATAAATGTCAATTGTGGAGTGGTGTTAGCTGGAATAACCAACAGTATCTTCTGTGGTTCTTTCATTCCTATAAAGTAATAATACTGTATTAAGTTATAGATGTCTATTTCTAAACCAGTAAAGTTAAGGTAAGAATCATCCCTTGAATAAAGTTAATTTATAATGAGCTATAATAAAGGTACTGTAACCCTTTTAAGAGCTATTCTGACATAAGATACTGTATAATAAGTGTATTGTTTATGTGAAAGAATTAGCATTTGTTGAACTCCAAATTGTTGATTAAATTATTTTTGATTCATTAAAAAACATTTTACCAACCAGACACATCAACGAATTCACACTGGTCAGCGTCCACATGTATGTGATAGATGCCAAAAATGTTTTACCACTGGATATGCTCTCAAGTCACACCTACGCACTCATACTGGAGAGAAGCCTTACCAATGTCCAGAGGAACAATGTGGCAAGTGCTTCAAAACTTCAGGCGACCTACAGAAACATGTTCGAACACACACGGGTAAGAAAAATTTTGACTTAATATAAATGGTGTATGGGCATTTCCTGAACACCTTTTATAGGTGCTTTCATGTATGTATGTATAATTCTAAAATTGATTTTCATTTGTTTGTTCTCTTTATGCTCACACCTGCTTGGGGTATACGGTACAGGGGGGTCCCTGGGTTACGAATGGGTTCCGTTCCTGAGGATGTACGTAAGTCGGATTTGTACATAAGTTGGAACACATGCTATGTGCATACTGTACTTATAAAACAATGTTAAAAATCCCACTATATGATAGCCTAAGCCCTTATGTACAGTCAGCAAAAAAATGTTCTGCACCCCTTGGTCTGATGGCATCTGCAACGATCACTGACTGAGGCCATGTTAATTTGGTAAGGTTGGTATTTCTGGTTGTGTGATGCATTGTATAACCAGTATGATTTATTTTTTATATCACATAGTTAATACAGAGAAATTAACAGGAATCACCCGCATAAATGAGTGTTGTTCAGAATTCTTGGTCCAGTGTGTCATATTGTATAACACCATAAAGGTGCAGAAATTTTTGTTGTTGACTGTACATCTAAAATCACTTAATTTAAGACAAAAGAAGAAATAGAAAGACAAAATACAGTAAATGAAAGTAAATAATAAGTCATCAAGTAAATAAAATACAGTAGACCCTTGCCATTCATGAGGGATAGGTTCCAAGAAATGGTGCGAATTGGAAAAAACCACAAATAGCAACTTATACTACCTTAGTGCACTACTGTACACCTGTACCAAGCAACTGACCAGCCACGGCAGCAATCATCCCCTTTTAACTAATCTAATAATAAAACTTTCTTTGTCAGGGTCATCACTGACTACAGTATTGCCTTTTACATTTCTCTCCACTAGCATCACTAACACTGACACTCGGCAGTCTTTTAGGGGCCATTTCACACAGAAACACTAAAGTTTTGAGAGTACAACACAAGATGCTGCGTGGGATGACTCATTGTGCTGTGGGAAAAGGCTTGCAAGCTAGCCACCATCTGCTTATCGCGAATCGTTGAGATCGCAAACTCGCGAATGGCACGGGTCTACTGTACAGTACTGTAGATTTAAAGTTTAACCCCGTTCATATCGATGGCCCGTAAGTTGGGGACCTCCTGTACTGTACAGTATTAGGATTGGGTTGTGTGTACATTTGTTAGTGTGTTTAGTTGTTTTTGCATCTAGAATTGTAATGGGGAGTTATGTGTGAGATGTTCCTAGAGAGTGAGAAGTTTGGTAGGGGGATGGATGCAGCAATATTTTAAGAATAAGAAAATTGGGAAGTTGATTTGGAGAGTGGCAGGATTGCAAACTGTGGAAAACAGGGTAGAAATAACATTTATTTTTGCCAATCTTCCCTCTCTACTTTATCTTCTTTCAGTCACTGTCAATTTTCTCCTAATACACACATACACTTCCTGGTTCATTCACCAACATTTGTAACTTCTTTTGAGTCCCCCACAAGATTAGACCAATGGCATTTGCAACAGCAACTGATCCAACTTCCATGTGCAACCCGTATTATTATTTACCAAACTTAAACCTCTCGGCATCAATCTTGCTTTCTTCTCTTACTACCCTACAACAACCATAGCAGCCAATGTAGATAAATAGATAAGCAGTGGAGAGAATTATATGCTGTATAGAAATACTGTACAGTACTGTAACTACTGTAAATCCATTAGCCAAATTAACTGATGTATGGTTTAGCATACCTGTCTCCCTAAAATCATAATTAGGTATTACATTTATAAAGTGAACAATGCACCCCCCCCTCCCCCTCCCAAAGTCCTGGGTGGATCCTTTCGGTGAGAAAATTACTTGTACCCTTATAATGTCAACGTGAAAAGGTTAAGTAGATCTTGTTATGAGTGTAATATTATTGCAAAAATGAGATATGGGATAAGTCTATATGCTGAATAATAATTTTCTTTGATCTGTATTGCAGGAGAGCGTCCATTTACATGCATGGAGTGTGGTAAATCATTCACAACATCAAACATTAGGAAAGTACATATGCGAGTACACACTGGTAAGTAATTTGTGATGCTATATCCAGTATTACAGTGTATCATGTTTTTTAGAAGTATGATATACGTTAACATATGAATATGTTTAAAGGCATGACCAGAGGTAACAGATATACAGCTGCTATAAAGGAGGTAATAAATATTACCTATACTTTTTAAACAGGAGAAAAGCCATATGAATGCGAGTATGAAGGTTGTGGAAGGAAGTTTGCCTCTGCAACAAATTACAGGAATCATTGTAGAATTCATACTGGAGAAAAGCCATATGTGTGCTCTGTTGAGGTGAGTATTAAACTTGTAACTTTTTAAACTAGGCTGGCATAGTTTTATAATGTATATGTTGACTTGATATTTCTTTTTCATAGGCAATGACTCAATAAGTTTAATTTTCAGAACTGTGGTAAGAGGTTCACAGAATACTCTTCCCTATACAAGCATCATATGGTCCACAACCAACAGAAGAGGTATTATTGTAGTCAGTGTGGAAGGTATTATAGACAGCTCTCTACGTTAGCAGGTCATAAAGTGAGTTATGGCAGTTGTTTGACGTGTATGTGGTCATGTTATATCAGATGAAACACTTTCTACATCCAATAATAGTAAGATTCCATAATTATGTCCAAATTGGTGAATAGTTTCAACAGTTATTTCTGAGGTAACAAGAACTTTTTTTTCATGGTGTGAAAAAAGTAAGAGAATTATTATTATTCCTTGCATGAAAAAGAGAAAGAGTTCAGTTATTTAAAAGCACACGCATTCATACATATATGAGGATAAGTTATGTTCATCTCATACAATAGTCTAAATGAATTTATTAAAGCACGCACATACAGTAAGTCTTTGCTTAACGTTGTGCTTCCGTTCCTGAAAACCTCAACGTTAACGGAATCAATTTTTCCCATTAGAAATAGTTAAAATACGGGAGTTACGTTCCCCAGCCTCCTTTTGCCCCATAGAATACATTACATATACATAAATTCAATGGAATTTTTATCGAAGATAGTATATATTATACACCCAAAAAGATAAATAAACTAAATCATTTTGTATTGTACTCACTGATGGGCAGAGGTGGAGAGTGTGTGTGGTGGGTAGTGGAGAGGAAGAGGGTGGCGAGTCACTAAGACCCGGATGGTGGCTCCTCCTCCTGCTCTGACTGGGTGAGAGAGGGTGATACACTGTACAAAGTAGTCTGTGATGACATTATACCGAATCGGTGGGACGTTGTCCGAATCATGAGTATCTAGAGAGTAGTTACATTATAACAAAACAACGTTGCCGGGGGCAACGTTAAACGAGGACTTACAGTACTGTAATCTATACATATACTACTGTACATTTTTTTTTAGTACATATATTGTATGTGGAATGATTGTCCTTACTGGGTACTTCAAAGCAATTACATCAGTACTGTATTGTATTTCTTCAATAGCGGACTGTTCATAATATTCTTGAGAATGACAAAGAGCAAGTTTTGTGGATGACCCCAGACCTACACATGAACTTGTTAACAGAAGATCAAGATGGAGGTGATGTAAATTCTCAGGAAGGGGCTACAGTTGTTTCTGCTCCAAGTACATCTGCTAATACAAGGACAGTTCATATATCACCTGGAATGGTGATCAAAAAGGAGCAGGAGGTTAGGATTGAAATACTGTACAGTATGTTTATATGTGATCAGAAAAATACAAAACTTTTGTTTCAATCCAAGCCCATTTCTATTTCTTGTATGATTTGTTGCTTTTACCCCATAGTTTAAGAAAGGAAATACTGTGGTTCATGTAAAAATATGCCGAAGATTTTATGCTTATGATTAAATGTGCTCTTTGTACAGATTGTGCCAGGCACTTTACTGAACACCCAACTAACCATAGAAGAGTGTATTCGAATGCCAGGGGTAGAAGTAAGCAATCTTATAGCTGGAAACCCATCAAGTGACAATCTGTTGCCAGATGATCGAGGGTCAGCCTTGACTAATCTGGAGCTAGATGGAAGTGGGAGTGGCTCTATCTTTGTGTTTACTGATCCCTCACAACTGGCAGCACTTCAGGTAAGTGTATGTGCATTAGGAATATTCCAAGTAATATCTTCACCCCAAATAATGATCCTAGACTGTTTGGAAACTGTCTTATACAGTGTGCAGTATTAGATATATTTTGTTATGCTTTCATAGAATTAAAGTCTCTTAGTGTGAGGAGGCTTATTGATTGTTGAGCCCCACACTGCAGTACAGTACTATGAAAAAGGTAGAAATTGGATAGAAGTTAAGTCATGTATATCTTTGAAAAATTATCAATAGAAATTTCCTAAATTTATTGGGAAATTGCTTTTTGGGGCTCTTCCTACCCCTGGCTCATGAGTGTAAGCTTAAGTGTAACAAAATCTTCCAGGTTACTCCTGCTTGAGTTGTAAGTGTTAGTGAATGAGTTTGGAAGAATAATAGGGAGAGTATTCATGAAAGTGAACGATAGTAAAATTATGAAAATAAGTTGGAGGGAAACAGGTTAAAGTGGATGTGAGTTTGAATGGGGATAGAATGAAGTGAGTTATATTAAATATCTAGGATTTGGTGTAAATGAACATAATCAGAGTAGTGGAGGGAAGGCATATACCTATAATAGGTGCATTGAGAGAGAACTGTTTTAGAAGAGACAAAGATACATAGGGTATCTACAGTCATTGTTGTTATACAGTTTATATAAATGTATGTTTTTTCTGCAGCAGTTGGCAGTAGCAGGTGGAGCTGTAGGAGGAAGTGGAGATGGAAGTGTTGGAGATACTGTGGAAGTTATAAGGTTAGATGACTTTACATCAGTGGCAGAATCCACTATCACGGAAGGCTTGACGGATAGTAGGAGAATAAGACAGAGTATCTGTGAGAGCAAAGGAAAAATTATAGTAATAAAAGAAGAAAAAAACTAGACTAAAGAAAATAAATTAGCAACTACTGAACATTAAAAGGTTATTGGATCAAAAAGTTTGTAAGTGTCAGTGACCAGAGTAGCCTGACAGAGCACTTGGTAGTGTAATGGTCAGTCCTGTGGATGCCTAACAAATATAAATATGTAATAACCTATAAAACAATCGATTACAGTAGCTTCACTTTAACTCGTGACAGCAGGTGAAATATCAAGGAAAATGCTGCTATGATAAAGGATAAGTGTGTTAATGAGGCTGAAAATACTTCCCTAAATTACTAGAGCTTTAAAGAAATTAGAGTTCAGTATACAGGTATATCAAATTCTACTAAATGTAACTAAGCTTCTTAATATTTTGAGAAAGATGGTATATAAGGTGTTCATCCTTATGGTCGTCTGCAATTTTTTTAAAAAGCAGCGGCCAACCAAACCCCTCCTCCAAAAGTTCTTTATCTGATCAAAATATTGTTTTAAACTAGCTTATATGAATCATTCCTATTTCCTAATATCAGCAGTATAAAGTTACAGCCTCTTGAGGGAGAGACTTTTTCTCTTGGCCCATTTCATTATGTAAGAGTGGGTATGATATTTTACCTGCACAGGAAGATCAGTGACCTTATTTCTATAAAACCTGGTAGAGTACATTTCATCCCTCCCACCCCGTGACATGTTATGAGGTACGAGGGCATCTGCCATGGGGTAGATATATATTCTGACCTCAGTTATCACATTTAGCCCATTTCCTCAAGACTAAATACATGCTACACCACTGCTTGACCTGGGATGGCAGTCTTTGGCATCGGAGAACCTAACCCGGGTGGATGTCCATTCAGATTGTAATCACTGCCACAACTAATGAAGGGAGTTACTCTGCCTTGATCTGTATTACAGTATATCAGTATCTTAGTGAGGAACCATTACATTTACTTGTACTTTGTTTTTTGTAACTTTTATATATGCTGCGTAAATGAATCTTTTTTTATGGCTTGTACACATTCTCACTCAATATATCTGATTATCCTGCAGAATTTCCTCAATTTAATGACCAATAACCAAGAGAGAATCCTCCACTGACACCCTTCACCCATATATTCCTTTGCCTTATTTGCAGCTATAGCTTGTCCTCACAAATGGCAATAAAAAAAAATAAAAATAAAATAATATATATAATTTTCTCCCTGTGTGTCTACTAAATTTTAACTTGATCAACTACTTGCATAAAATTGTAATTTGATTTCTTTAGTACTGTACTGTAATTTACATTAGACTTGGTAAATTGGTATGGCAAGGGTGTCATTAGATGTGGCTAGTTATCATATTTCTGAAAATAATCCACTGTGGTACAATTTTATATGATTTATAATTAGGGGACAAATCAAGCAATTTCTAAAGCAGAAGCAGACTTATATAAGGTAGCCTTTCCTGTACCTAACATCTAGTTTACTTATTCCATCACGCCATGCAAGTACGTACTCTGCTGTCACCTTTGTTTATTATTCCTTTTGAGGCTGAATGGATACTTTAAAAACAACCATATGAAGTAAGAATTAAAAATTTACTCAACATTACACTTTCAGCAGTTATTCATCCTCTTACTACTTCCAGCACATGCTCAATTCCTCTTTGTAGAAACTCTTCACTGCTTCAAAAGCTTTTGTCCTTGCTCTTTATAAACTCCCTAATCACAATACTGTACTGTATACCAATTCCATCAAGTTTTATGAGTCCGCTTTATGTAAAGTGGGAGGATGCTTAAAGGATACTGATAAGTAGAAAAATATTTTGACAATAAAGACTACCTACACAATAATCTTTAATTTTTAATAATCTCATTGAGCATTGCACTCACATTGTCATCTGATCCACACAGCCACGTCTATAAATAAGTATTACTGTATTGTGTTTTTAATAATGATGCAGACAATAATATAGTCCATATCATCCTTGTGTAAACTCCGTGTTGTGACTTATAAGTACCTATTAATTATGTATACGATATTCCCTATAAAGTATTAATGTGTCCAGTGACTTGACCACTTTTCCATTCATATTCATCAGTGAATGAAAATTTTTGTGGTTAAAGAGCTTCCCTCCTTAATGAAGGAATACAGTAATTGAAATATGGTCAAGTGACATATTGGATAATTGAAATGTAAACCTGGAAAATGAAGAATTTGGATCTAAATGAACTTGCATCTATATGTTGTATTTACGAGTCTCATAATTGTATTATATTGCCTTTATTTTATTCTATATCGTACGTATTAATTTAGTATAATTAACTTAAAAACAACACCGTATATGACAGGAAATAATGGAGCCGAATTAGGGTAAAATCTATATCAGATATATGGAACTTTATCCCTTAAGTACTATACAGTATATCCTTGAACATTTTGTTTTTGTTTTCCTTTGTTATTTGTGGAATTATAAGTGAGGAAAAAATTCAAGGATTAACTTTTCCTTAATGAACAATTTAAAAATCACATCTTACTGAGGCCTGTACCAAAAATCAAGTTTTGGACCAGTTATCTTAAATTTGAATTCTATCAGTGTCAAAGAAAGAAGGAGTTTAACACAAAACCCAATCTCTATCTGTCGTATCCCTTAGCATTACCTTGTACCGTACAGTGGCCACTCTTTTTACAGTACAGTATTCATTTTAGTGATTTTTCTGTCAGAAATCAAACATGAAACATTACAATGAATATACTGTATAGAATGTGTTAATTTGAAATGCTTCACATAAGGTAATAGAGGCTAGAGTTTTTCATCTTAAACCCCATCACTACATTGCTGATTCTAGTTCCTTGTCGGGGATTGTTTCTAATCATCTTCATCTTGAAGCCCAGAGTTGATGGGAACCCTTGACTGGGTAGTTAGCGGCACTGGTTTATGTATTTCCGTCCCAACCAAATTTGTTTACAGAATTACACAAAGTATTCAATGTAAAGCAGTGCATTTGTTAGGCTTTTTGTATATGCTTACTTAGATTGTTATTATATTTTCAAGCAGTTGGCTCTTGGTCTAGTAGGGGCTTGTGTGTTATGGAAATAGCTCTAGTTGCTTTATCTCTCTCTCCTGTAGTTCTTGAATGATTTTGTGACATGAATGCAAAGTTTAACCATACTGTACTCTGAGCACTGCTCCCTACCTGAAGACACAACATTACAAACACAGATTTTGTGGAAAATGTAAAATATTTACGTGTACTCAGCACTGTACTATAATGGGTTCCAGGTTTGCAAGGATTCAGAAACAATTTACACCACAGATTATGTTATCAATTTTTTTTGCTAATGTGCACATAGGCATTCCCCAGGTTACAGAAGGGTTCCATTCCTGAAAACCTTTCTGCAATGTGAAATTCGATAAAGCGAAACCATTTTTCCCCATTGACTTCCATTGTAAGTTAAATGCTTTCCTACGGAAATTTTTTGAGGCCCAAAAAGGTGACATGAGCACATATATGTATGAAATCAGATGGTTTTAACCACATACAATGAGTCATTCATGATGTAACATGATAATAAATGAACAAAACACTCCAATTTTACTTACCAAATCGATGTTAAGTACTGCAGGAGGTGGTGCGATTGGAGTTACTGGGAGTTAAACTCCTTAAAACATCATATTTATTATTCAATGTAATTCCTTTATGGAATCTTTTATCACCATAGCTTCACTTGAACTTGATGGTCTTTTTCCTCTCATCTTGTGCATAACTTAACACAAACTGGGGAAAGAATTCAAACAGCATTGCCATTGTTGTTGTGGCTGCCATCAGCTGTTGAGGTGAGCTGCCAAGCAGCCATCTTGTAGCTATCACCAGAATCCACAGAAATAAAAATTTTAATTTTGGTGAAATTTTTAGTTCTAAATCACAGTTTTTTCTTTTGAAAATATTAATAAATTAACTATAATTCTGTAAGGGTGAAAACAGTCCTGAACACAATGCTGGGGAAAAGAATTCTATCTTGAGCAGTGCCATTGTTGTGGTGGTTGTTAGCAAATGGGGAGGCGGGCAGCCTTCCAATTGCCTTCTGGCTTTCGAAGAGAATCCACATAAAATAATTTAAAAAAATTTGGGTTAAAATTGCTGTTGTTATTATTATTTTTTTAACTTGCCCAAATTTAGTAAGGGCAAGTTTATTTTCCAAAGTACAAAATTTTGGTAATACGTACTGTAATTTCAAAATTCCGTAAGGGTGAAATTACGTAACCAGGGACTCCATAATGCGGGGGATGCCTGTACTGTACATGGAGAAGATAAATTTTTTACAGTTGTTCTCCACAAATGTTTGAAGTTTGATACAAAATGGAGTCATGAAAGAATATAATCATGCATTAATAAAGTTAATTTCAATTTGGAAATATGGGATCATGGTTGAGTACCTTGAAAACATGTATGATCTTATTAAACTTAGTAATTAAAAAATATTAATTCCTTTCAATAGAAAATAACATAATACAGTACATGTATCTACTACAGAGAAGTAAATCCAGCTAGTAATTACAAGGTGCCCTTGGGAGATAGTAGTGGTTGGTGGATTAATATCTGTTTCTAAATACTGGACATACCTGTACTGTATAAGTATTTTTCTTTTTCTTGCTAGCAGCAGTATTAAAGGCTGCATCGGGGGCTTGGAAACCACTACAATACACAGAACTAATTGAGTTGGTACAATGTAGCTTGGAAGATGAGACAAGGACAGTAGAAAGAGGTCTGTGGAGAGTGATATTGCTCCTGCTTTTCAGATGGCTGGCAAAAAGTTTTGCTTAATTTTTTGTCACCCAAGTAATTTCTCATAAGTCTAATAATCCTTGTGCAGTATTTATTTGAAATAAGGGTACACAATTAATGTGTCCAACATTTATGAGTATTTACCATTTCAGGAGCATATTGTATGGGGGACTACTATATACAGGTATAGTACAGTAACAGCAGGATGGATACTTGAACCCACTACAATATCTCAAGATTTATGGTAATAGAGTAATGCTCAAAACTGTTATTGTGTGTCAGTCCATTTTCACTTATATTTGGCATATGATTGTATGCTGAATAAATATCTATAGTTATGAATATTGTCAAATTTTTATCTGCTACAGGCCAAATTATTGAATTGATATACTGTACAGTATGTATAAAAGAAAAGAAAAAAAAAACGGATTCACTTTGCTGTTACCTAGGCACGCAATTGATTATCCATAAATTTTATGTAGAAGTCTTGCCTAACTTTTTAGCATTAAAAGTTAATATTCAAAAACTTTTATGGTCTTGCACTTTTCAATTTGACAACTTTTAGTAACCAACTTATTTCCTTATACCCTGTACTTAAATAATTATTATATATTCTGGCAACACAGCTGGACTACACTTCCCAGGCAGTGAAAATTACAGACCTTTGATTGACGATGCTCCCACTGTCACTGGTTCTTGGAACTGCTAGCTTGCCATTGGCTAAGACTTCCAGCACTAGCACTTACAGGAAGAAGAGGGTTCATTGCTGGTAGATATATATTCCCTGCCACTCAATCCCAGAAATAACAATCCCTCAGCAGTGATGTCAAAACAAAGGAAGAGTATTGGGAAGGCAGACAGATGCTTTTTTCAACATTTTTAAGAAAACTGAAACACATGAGTAGCATCACCAGTGTTATCTCATACAAATTAATAACTTATCATAGGTGTACTACTCATATGTACCAGGCCATAAGGGGGAAGAACACTGTCTTAATGGTTGAGAAACCTCTGTTGAGAGTGTAGAGTACAGTACAGTATTGTTCTTCAGAATAAAAATTTATGCTGTTCTGCAATTAAAGAGTACAGTTAACCCTCACTTTACGCGGTTAATGTAACCCGGAGGGTCCCGCGTAAAGTGAGAAACGCGTAAAGTGAATAACATAACATATGGGATTAATTGAAATGGAGTCCGGGCCGATCCCCAAACTCCACTTTTTGACGACACACAACTATGTTGTAGTAAAAATATTATCTTAACTTTATGATGGTATGCACACACAATTAATAATTAAGAGAAATATCAATAATATTAGGTTTTTTAACACTTACATTAGTAGAAAAAATGGCTGGGCACACGGGGATGGGCGGTTGGTTCCGAGGCAGAGGGCAGATTATTGGCCCTCACCTGTGTCACTTGTATCAATTGTATCACTATCCACCACAGAGGCTTGCAGGGCCTCTTTGTCAAACTCCCCAAAGTCCATATAAGTCCATATCCTCACCATAATTATCACTATCACTGACTTGGGCCGGCTGTGGTGGGTGGCGGGTGAAGAACTGGTAATGTTTTGATGACTGGGCGACCTTGTGCGCACCATGTTCGCGCAGCTTACACAACATGGCGGATGGCGGGAGGTTTGGATCCAAAAATGGCGCGGCTCGCCAGCCGCTCTCCGCGTAAAGGGGTACACGCACCGCGGAATGTGAGCATCCTGGGTTCCGGCAGGGCACCGCGTAAACGTGGAAACGCGGAATGTGGGACCGCGTAAAGTGAGGGTTAACTGTACAGTATTTATAATTTTAATCATAAATCTGTAATATGGTGGTGTTCAGTATTCAACACTTACCAATACATAACATTTGTTGATTGTGTTGAATTACATAATAATTATGAATGTAAGGTAGTCAATAGTGGTACATGTGATTATGACTTAAGATAAAGAACTACCAATGGAATGAAATGCCAATTTTTACTTCTTCCATGGAACTGATATGGAAGCTATGTAAATATACTGAACCACCGATAGTATGTCTTGTATTTATTGCCTTATACAGAACACAATGTGGTAGGTTTTTATGACACCAGGAAAATAATATGAATTGGCAAGTAGGAGTTGGTGATAATATTAAGTAATTTACAATACTACACATGTTACAATAATATTAACTTCAATAATTAAAGATGCAATAACTTATTATATATGGTACAATGTGTTTTGAATGACAAGGAAATGTTATATTTATTTGAATGATCAAATGTGAAACTATTAGTCATGTTTTATGCCTAGAGTTCTGGGAAAAGCCATAATTTAATGTAAATTGTAATCATGATAAAGTTTGATAAAGATTTGTAATGGTTTTAATTTCAATTATTATTTTTTTTTCATTTTGCTTAGCTTATTAAGATATAATGTGTAGAACCAAGACATTATGGTAATTTAAAGTTGTTAATTGATATCCTGTATTGCACCATACATAGGTTTTCATCTGCTGGAGTATATATCTGCAACCTTTGAACATGAATGAGTATACGTTTTTGAACAATGTGAATCTTCCGAGGCTTCAGATCATATATTATACGACTTGGAGTGGATGTGGTAAATAGATACCAGCGCCATGCCAATCATCAATGTTATCTTACATAGAAGGGATTGAGGAATTATTGGGGGAGACATCGCAAGATGCGAGAGGTATTGTATTATCATTGCCCTTCAAAATAAGGGTACAGTATAAATAACACTGAGATAGCTTGGTGAGCGAACTCGGTATCATGAAGGGTTAGGCGCCATGAAACAACTGGTGCCACACTGAAACTTACAACCACAAATGTCTTACTATAGGTGGACAGGGGGGTCTGTTGTCTGCAAGGGCCTTGAATTCTACTCCCATCTCTAGCTTTTGCTGATGATGCACTGGGAATTGTATAAAAGCATTTCCTCTAGCATTTTAAATTGTAGCAATGGAAAATCTAATGATACTTTTTGGGGGGGACTGTACAATTCTTAGTCTCTTTTGGATTTTACTTGAAAACTACAAGTACAGTACTGTACAGCCACTCCTCGACTCATGACCACCCGGACATACGACCACCCCAGTCATACCAAATTTTTTTCAAATTACGTATTTTCGAGTCCCGACGTTAGTGATTGCACTGTGTACTGACAAAATTTTTTTTTGTAATTCCCTTTAAAATGGCTGTCATGCTTAAAAGTGAGAGTTTTGTTGTGCTGAGAAGAAAAAGAGACCAATTTTTTATTTTCTATGTATTATCTTCGCATTTTTGACTTACGACCTGGATTTGGGTCCCTAACCCCGTCCTAACTCGAGGAGTGGCTGTACTGTATACTGATAATCATAGGTGTTCATGTTTGATAATTGTGGAGGATCCGATAAGGCTATCAAATTCAGTCTGCATGTGTACAACACTGAAAAGCTTATCCAGGACTCGTAAATCTTGAGCTTTGCACTATAATTCAGGATTATTATCTTTTCTTTGAGATTTGTATTGGGTTGTTGAAAAATTAATTAAAGTTTGAGTTATTGTTACTTATCTTAATAGTCTTTCTTTAATCAGTGGTTAGCATGACTGTGACTTACAGTTCCGAGAGTTCAACTCTGTGTATGGGGTCCTCTCTCTGCTGAATAAAATTATCTGGCAATAGCCAAATAAATTTTTAAAAGTGGCCTCTCTATAGTGAAGGGGTTACGGGTAAGTGCTTCCTTTCTGACATACTGTATATTGTACATTATACTTTCAAATAAGATTTATCACATCTTCAATACAGTAATATCTTCGTT